GTCGGCTCTGCCCTGGCCCCGTAGGAGCCTCCTGGATAACAGGCCCCAGGTTTCTCTGGGCCCCGAGGCCCTCGATCTGATCGCGCCGCTTAACCCGCTTAACCCGAGGCCGCTGCGGGCAGGGCTGGGCTGCAGGAGCCCCACCTGCGGGGACGGCTGTGCGCCCACACCTGGCCTTCCTTCTCCGAATATAAGGGGCCCTCCGGCGCCCACACGCCGGCTCCAGCTCCGGCACTGACCTCGACCTGCAGGATGCCCCGCGCTCCCCGCGCCATGTGGCTGTGCCCCCTGCTGCTCTGCCTGCCCCTGTCTCTGGCCCTGAGCGGCCAGCGTGAGCCCGAGGCCCCGGAAGATGCTGGTGAACTGCACTGCGGGCCCGAGGGCCTCCAGTTCACTGTCCACCCCCTGGGCCAGGCCTTGGGGACCCCTCCCACGCTGATAGCCTGGGGTAAGGCTGCCACCCCCACTCACCTGGCCTGCCCCCCGGGCAATGGCTCCTCTCCGCCGCCTCCTCCAGCCGCCCTCCGGCCTCCTGTCCTCAGCGGGGCCCTGGGGTCCCTGTCCTGGGCGGTGGGTGGCCCCGTGGAGCTGGGTGCTCCCTGTGCGGTCAACGTGGTGACTGGGCCCTCGGGACCATTGCCCTCCCTCCCTCCCTCCCCCCAGACGACCACGGGCTGCTGCACCGGCTGCAGAACGACTCCGGCTGCGGCACCCGGGTGTCGGCCGGCCCGGGCAGCGCCCTGGTGCTGGAGGCGTCCTACGGCGGCTGCTACGTCACCGAGTGGGTGAGTAGGACCCGGGCCTGGGGACCCCCGAGACGCCCGGCCCCCAGGCTGACGCCGGCCCGTCTCTGCAGGGTTCCCAGCACGTCATGCCCGTGGGGCTCGAGCAGGCGGACACCGCCGGGCACCGGGCCGTGGCGACGGCCAAGCTGCTCAAGTGCCCCGTCGGCCTCCCAGGTACACGGGCCGGGCCCACCTGCGCGGTGAGCGACACCTGTCACTCGTGAAGGCCCCACCCCCATGCGCATCCTCAGATAACCTCCACCTGAGGCCGGGGTGCAGCCCGTGGTCTAAAGGGGGCAACACTGATAAAACGGGGTGACAGCCCCCCCAGACCATGCTGATCTGCCACCCCGGCCGCTGCAGGTCCGAGAGGCGAGCAGGAACGGGGCCTGGGCGGAGGGCACCCCCACGGGGAAACCTTTCCCTGCAGGAGGGTGAGGAGCCCCCTGCTTCTAGGGGTCTCGTTAGACCTTCTTTCTCAGAAAGGGCCTCTCCCAGGTGCCTTCCATGGGCCTCATTCCCGAGACCTCGCCGCGGGCGGGACAGGGAGACGGACGGGAACGTTCACCTTCGAGCAGTGGCTCCCCAGGCCCCGGCTCTGTCACCAGCTCGGGCTGCTCTGCTCCCCACCGTCTAGGCCTCGACGCGCTGGGCGCTCACCTGTGCGACTCGGTCCCCGTGGGGGACAGGCTGCCCTGCGCCCCGGCTCCCGCCACTCCCCGGGCCTGCAAGGCGCTGGGCTGCTGCTACAACCCCAGCGGCAGGTCCTGTTACTATGGAAACACAGGTGAGGCGGCTGCTCTACAAGCAGCGGAGGGAAGTGCCCATTACCTGCAGCTGAGCCCGGGGGAGGGCGAGCCCCCCACCCCCACCCCTCACCCCCCAGGTACCTGCAGCTGAGCCTGGGGGAGGGCGAGCCCCTCCACCCCCACCCCTCACCCCCCAGGTACCTGCAGCTGAGCCTGGGGGAGGGCGAGCCCCTCCCACCCCCACCCCTCACCCCTCACCTCCCAGGTACCTGCAGCTGAGCCTGGGGGAGGGCTAGTCCCCCCCCCCCCTCCCCTCACCCCCCAGGTACCTGCAGCTGAGCCTGG